GCCCCCCCCCCCCCGTTCCCAATTATCCCAGCCTAGACTCCAGTGCTGGAGCCGCCTTCCCAAGCCAGCCTGGAGGTTGGAAGAGGAGGAAGACGGAGAGAAATGTGCCGGATAACTTCAACCAGCGGAGCCATAACCCCCAGCTACGCCCCACGGCATTCCCACAGGGCTGAGCAGGTCCTGGCAGCTCAGTGGATTCCAGCCGTGCCGGATCCAGCGGGTGTGGGATGGCTCCAGACACTTGCACGGAGCCGGAGACTGATGTGCATTACCTTCAATCCAATGCTCCCGACATATGCGTGCTGCCACTTATCGGGAAGCCAGCCGGAATAATTAGGGAGAGACGAGGACACAAGAGAAGGGGGAGACACTAAGAGGGGGAAGGGTGGGACAGGCAGTTTGTAGGGAGAGGGGGAACATCTCCGGGAGGAATTTTGGAGCCTGTTGGAAACGTGGCTGTGAGCAAAGTCATCAAATTCCCCAAGCATCCCATTTTTCCCAGAGCTAGGGATACAGGGATACAGGCTCCAGCTGTTTGCCTGGGGTGGCTGGTCCCTCCATCCTCATGGAACTGCTTGGCTGTGTGCCACAGGTGGGAATGGCTGGACTTGTCCAGGAAGGCACCAGAGACGGATGTGGCTGAGGGTTGGGATCTGTTCCTGCTTCCCTTGCCTTCACTGCCTAAAAATCCTCCCTGGCTGGAGGCAGATGTCCCGTCCCACGGGGATTTGCATTCCCATGTGGATGAGGCCGTTCCGTGGCAGACAGGGATGCTCTCCACCCACCCCTTCGCCTGACACTGCCGGGAGAGGGAGGAGGAGGAGGAGGAAGAAGAGGGAGCTGCACATCACGCTCTAAACCAGAGCTGATTTTTGGAGTAGTATTCCCCCTGGAACGATTTCACGTGGCAGAGCCTCCGCAGCCGCCTCGTTAAGCTGTCCCCACTTAATTACCAGCGCCATTAAATCCGCCTGCTCCTGCCAGATATCCCGGTGCTCCAGAGGATCAGGGAGGAGAGGGGGAGCTCCCGAGGCTCCTCCAGCCACACCGGGAACACGGGGCGCGTGGGATTCCTCAAGCTGCTGAGTTTCTCCACACCACCACGCTCAGGAGCTGCCAAGGTGCTCCAAGGGGAAAACGACATTCCCAGACCACCTGGGATCAGATAAACCCAGGAATCCCGAGCCCAACATCCCATCCCTGCTGGCAGTGCTGGATGAGGTTAATCTTGGAGAGCACAGGACATATGGCCCAGGACACGGGCACTGCTTGGGGTCTGTATGGGGACAGACAGCCTGGGCTCAGGGACCATCTGCTGGGGCTGCACTAAAGTTGATTTGCGGTAATGGAGAGACGTGGCCACCAAAACACCCCCAGAGACCCCTCGGAGCTGGGTCACAACAGGGAAACCCCTTCAGCTCCTTTTAGCAGGATAAAAACCCCTAAACACCACTTTTCCTTTGGCTTCCATGCCTGGACCATGCGTTTTTCCTGGAATGAACGCAACCACGTCCTGCTGGAGGAGGAGGAGGAGGAAGAGGATGAGCCCTCCATGCTCTGGGAGCAGCCCAGGTTGGGGGGATCAATCCTGGATCCCTTGGAAAGCCCCAGTTTCCCGTGGGGTTGGGTGTTCCCGCTGGAGTCCAGCCACCCAAATCCCATAGAATGTGCACTTCCAGCTGCCTTCAGGATAAACAGATGGCATTTTATAAATCAGTGGGAACTATTCCATTTTTTTTTACCCTTGATCATTAATAATGGGCCCGTTTGACAAGACCCCAGGCAGGCAGGGATCTCCTGGCTCCAGAGGCCACAGCCCAGCCCTGTCTGCACTTCCATGGGAATCACAGCCAGCCCCTGCCTCGGCACAACACCCACACAAACCTGGATTTTGTGTTGATTCAGGCCAACAGAATGAAAACTCAATTTGACCCCTGGCAGAGCCGAAGGGTGGGAGGAAGATGAGGCACAGCATCCCCCCAGCTGCCACCCCCAAAATCACCTGTAACAGAAGTGGGGGACCCGGAGCTCGGTGATGCACCAGAGGGAAAGATGGAAAAATAAAAGCAGATTATTGGCACTTGGGGAGGGAGAAGAGGAAGGAGGGAAGGAGGAGGAAGAAGATCCTTCTGAAAACATCCTCTGGACTGATGTTCTCCAGAGAGGGGTGCTGCTCCCCAGAGCATTCCCGTGGGAATGTGGGATGTGGGAAGAAAACCTCAGTGCTCCAGCAGCGTGTGCACGTGGTTTATAAATAAATGAATAAAATAAATACAGTTTTCCTGGGGGTGTGTGGTCCTGGCAGGGATGGACAACCCAAAACTAGCTCAGAGACCACTGCCCAAACCAGGAGAAGCAAAAAGGAGGGACCCCCTCCCTTGGCGCACGTCCTCACCTCTGTCCTCCTCCTTCTCGCGGCCGCTCCTGCCCCTGAGCGCCCGGCTCCGGGGGCCGCCGTTATCCCGGGATTTTCCCCTGTCCGAAGGCTCCTTGGAGGTGCTTTTGAACCAGGGTCCGTGTCGTCGGGGCCCCGCCGGCACCGTGGCTGCCGCCTTGAAGCCGCGGCTGAGCTGCATCACCCCCAGGTAGGGCAGCCCCGGCCCCTCGTTGGCCGCGGGGCTGCGGGGGCTCCCCGGCACCCTGGGCTCCCCGGAAAAGCCGGAGTGCAGGAAAACCAAGCTGCCGGCCGCCAGGTAGAGAGCCAGCAGCGTGAAGAAGCGCACGGGTTTGCGCCGAAAATACCGCTGGAGTTTTAGCAAAAGCTTGGCCATAGCGTCTTCATCCCTCCCCCGGCAGCCGGCGCCGCGGGGAAGCTGCTCCGGGGATGCTCCAGGGAGGGGATTATCCCGCCTGGATCGGAGGTGAATCCCGGGAAGCAGATGGGGTGAGGGCTGCAGGGCAAAGTCGTGAAAAGCTGTTGTCAGACCCTAAGAAGTCCTGGAGTGCTGGGGAAGGTGGATTTTGAGTCCCCGCGTCGTGGCCGGGGTGTTCCAGCGCTGGCTGTCACCTCCAGCCCCGGTTTATTCTCCCGACGGCAAATCCCCCCGGCTGTGCCCCGGGGACTGCGCTGATGCAGGGATCATGTTAAGGAAATCGAGGTTTGAAGCTGATTTGAAAGCCGATCAGCTGCCGCAGCTCCTCTCTCCCGGCGGCACCGGCTCCGTCAGGCATCGCTCGAGTGGGAACGGCACCGCTGCCCTTTCAGACAAAGAATGGAAGGTCCCTGGACGCGCCTGGAGCCTGGAATGCTGCCTGGGACGCTTTGTGAAAGGGAACCCCTTTCAGCTCACTCCCAGGGCAGGAAATCTCCACCTGCAAGTCAAGGAGAGAGGCACACTCAGGAAAGCGTCCCGGCACACGGGAGGGTGGTGGCCCTGTCCCTCCGGGAGGGGAGGAAGGACACCCGCGGTCTCCATCGCCTTCCAGCCCCGGAGAGGGGCGGTGTCACCTCTCCCAGGTGGGTGACTGGAGCCGTGCTGGTGGCGTGAGCCCAAATCCCAGAGCTTGCAGCTCTCTGCCTCGTTGTGCCCGAGAGGTGCTCCAGGATGGCTCAGGGATGTGGAAAATTCCCGGTTTCACCCAGTTTCACCCCCCGGAGGACGAGCTGTGCGCACACACTCCGCACGAAACACATTGCACCCCTAGATCCAAACGTCTCTGCGCCAGCAGATCCCAGCTGAAATCCATGCACGGGCAGCAGGGTATTCCAACATCCCACAGGGTCAGGAGCACATCCCTGGGTGTCTCTCCAGTCCCTCATGTCCCCGGGGATTGGAGATTGCCATGACATCCTCTATCCTCCAGCCAGGAGCATCCCCATTCCCACCAGGATGGCGTTTTCCCAGGAACACCAGGACAATCCCTGGTGGATCTTGGCACGGGAAGGGCACAGAAGGGACCCCACCAGGCTGGACTTCCCTCACGGGATTTCTCTCCTTCAAACCCCGTCCTCCAGCTATGGAAGATTTGCTCCAGCCCTTCCTGGGGAACATCCCAGGTGGGAAATGCCCCTGCTGACACATCCGAGTGCCGGGAATGGTCTCGTGCCCAGGGTGTGCTGCCTGTCACGGTCTCGTCTTATTTTAGGAAAGGAGATGGAAATAAATGGAAAGACAAAGTGCCATTAGTTTAATGGCCTCTATGTTCCTGCCATCTGTCTTCAGTTGATTAAATAAAAAATATTGGTGGAACATATGGCATGAATTATACATCAATATTTTAATTCGGTCTCCCAGAGTGGTTATTCAGATACCTCCGGCTCTGCCGTGGGAATTTTATGGAGTTCAGAGCTTGGAAAAAAACCCAAACCAGCCCTCCCCAACTCTGGCTCAGAGCTGGAGTAAAGGCTGAGTAACCTCGGAGCAGCAGGGGTTTGGGTTTTCCGTGTGCAGGATGTGACGGGGAGGTGCAGGTGCAGGGAGGGGGGGCTATGCTGGCAGAGCAGCCCCCAGCCCGGTGGTCCCGGGGGGGGGGTGGGCTTGGCTGCTCTCCCGTGCTCCCTGACCAGGATTTTACTGCTTTCCCTTATCCAGAACAAATCCACCTTCCCGGGCTTTGGATGGGAGCTGGATACGGCGTGGTTTGGGGAGCAAATGGAGCGTCCCCAGGGCTGTCCCTGCTCCCCAGGGACTCCCCCTCCTCCTCCTGCCGTCCCCGGCTTGGCCCTGCCAGGCTCCGGCACAGCATATAAAGAAGGGGCTTAAATTACTCTCATTAAGCCATCTGGAGCTCATCCTTCTCCATCATGAACTGCGGAGTCACAGGTCAATTACTGCGCATTTGCATATATTCCATTAATGCTCCCGCTAATTGTCTCGAGCAGATAATGGGCTCGGCTGGCGGGGGGGGGATCACAGGCGGCGGGGGCGGCACAGAGAGCACCAGTGCTCCCAGTACGGACACCGCAGCTCCCAGTACCAGCAGGGGCCGGGGATGTGGGGAGCTGATGGATGCGGGAATTATCCGAGAACGAGAATCCCCTCATCCCACCAGCGTTCCCTGTGTTGTGAGGATGGATCCACCACCCCCGGTCCCCAGCGCCACCAGCACTCGTCGCGGTGTCCCCAGGGCCTCCATCCTGCCCCCCAAGCCCTGAATCCCGCTGCTCTCGCTGCCAGCGCGGCCCGCGGCGTGGCCGGGGGACAGCGGTGACACACTTTGTCATCCAAACTAATGAAGCAAACGGGGACAGTCCCCAGGCAGCGCAGTGCAGCGTCCTCAGCCCGGCGGCTGCTTGGAAAACTGCTGGGACAGCGGGAACGGAGGGAATTATCCGCCTGGCCTCGCTCGGTGATGACCCCTCCGTGACCCATCCCCCTGCTCGCATCCCAGGGGAGGAATCCAGCCCTGGGAGCGGCGGGGATGGAAAAATCCCCCCGGCTGGCAGTGCCAGGATTGGGGAATCCCTCCCCGATCCCCCCGACCCTTTGGCTCCCAGAGCCAAAACACAGTGGGTCCAGATTGGAGGATGTGGGTCCAGCCGGGATTGGGGAATGGTTTCCTGCCTACATCCCTCACCACACCCCCAGCAGGAGCCAACATCCTCATGCCAGCCCCGGGATACCCAAAACTCCATCAGCACATTCCCAGCAGGAGCCAACATCCTCATCCCAGCCCCGGGATACCCAAAACTCCATCAGCACATTCCCAGCAGGAGCCAACATCCTCATGCCAGCCCCGGGATACCCAAAACTCCATCAGCACATTCCCAGCAGGAGCCAAAATCCTCATGCCAGCCCCGGGATACCCGTTTGAGCATCACTCCACACCCAACCCACCTCCCTGAGGGAATCCGCGATAATTTGCCAGCTTTATCCAGGTTTATCCATCCCTCTGCAAGTGGAGAGGTGGGAACAGGTCCGGGAGCGGGATGGATGAAGGGCCCATCAGTTATGGATTTGGGGCTCGTCTTCAAATTGCTCTGCAATTATTGAGCCCCGAGGTTCACTCGTCTTCAGGCAGCACCTCCCGTCTGAGCAGGGCCCAACAGCCTCACGTGGCTGCCCCAGCCCCGGAGAACAATGGGGCCATTAAATCCAGCAAATTAACCACCACCAGAATTCCATTAGGAGGAGAAGGCCACGGGAATATCCGATTTCATCCCCTCATTAACATCTCTTATCACCGGGACGGGGGAATAATAGGGCTGGAGAACAGAGGGGTGGTGACATCAGTGGGGTGACCCCACGGCGGGGCTGTGACGCAGGGACCGACCTCGCTCCCACGCCACGGGACGTGGGGACAGCAGGTTCTGAGCCCCTCTGGGCACCCTTGGGAATGCTGGAATGTTTCTGCCGAGCCTGGGAATGTGGCAGTGCCAGGGACCCAGGGGATGGGGTGAAAGGTCCCAGTCCATGGGGTGCAGGGCTCATGGGACACAGGAGCCAGCGCATGGAGGCTCCTTGGACCTGCTGCCACCAAAAGCCACTGGCTTGTGTGCAGGGATGGTGTCCCCCCATCCCAGAGCAGTTCCTGCAGCTCCACATCCTCCCCAGCAACAACCTGTGACACCACCACAACCTCCAGTGACACCAGTACAACCCTGAGTGACAGCAGTACAGCCCCCAGTGACACCAGTACAACCCCCGGTGACACCAGTACAACCCCAGTGACACCAGTACAATCACCAGCAACACCAGTACAACCCTCAGTAACACCAGTACTCCCGGGTGGAGTTGCCATCCTCTTTCTCCAGCCCCATGGAAATGCATTTTCACCCTTCCCCACTCTTTAAGGAAGCAGCAAATGAGGTTCAAGGGGCTGAATTTGAGCTCCGTTGTGGCTGGGAATGAAACTGGGCTAAACCGGGATTATTCCATCCCAGCAGGGCACACCTGGAGCATCCAACACCTCGCAGCGCCGCTCCTGGGGCCAGCCAAGAGCAGGGAGCCCTCAGCCGTCTTCAAATCAAAGCTGAGTTTATTTATTCAGCTCCTCTCTGCCTTCATTTTGCTGAGAAATGGGTTTGTGCCTCCTCTCCGCTGGGGAAGCCTGAAAAGCAGCTGACTCAGCAGCTCCCAGACTCACCCCAGGGAGCTGCACTGGGATCGGATGCTCATCCTCAAGGCTGAGCTGCTTCCCAGGCCTGGGCTTCCCTTTGGAGCCACTAAATCCCTTCCACAGGCCAAACCGGCAAGGGATGCAAAGGAAAAACCTCTCATTTGGGATTGATTGGCTCAATTTGAAAATCCAGGGCAGGATTTGCCCATCTGCTGGTGGATTTTTGTGTGGGATTTCCGAGCATTTTTTTGGGTCTGCAAGTCTTCCTCCTTGCTGGGAGTCCATGGGAGCTGGTTTTATTTATCAATAAAAACTGATTTTTAAATACTCTGGGGATCTATCCACGGCCTCAGCACCTGAGGCACCGGGATCCAGAGGGATCCAGATGCAGAAGGATCCGGGATCCATTCGGGGCTGCCCCAGACTAATTGATTAAGGTCTCTAAAAGGCTCCTCTGAAATGAGGTCGTGCTAATTGCACAACCTCCTCTTAGTGCTCCCTGTGCTCTCCAGAGGACGGAGCCCACAGGGCACCAGCCCCGTTTCTGCCAGGCCTGAGCTATAAATAAATCCAGGAACATCGGGATGGATCCTGCCCTGGCTTATTCCAATAACTGGACAGTGCTACACGAGCCTGCAGCCTGGCCCAGAAAGGCAATTTTGTTTAATCAAGCTGATTTAAGGAAGTTTAACCCCGTTTTTAATTACGACATTGAGCTGCCTGGAGCTGCAAATCCCCACTGGCGTCCCAGACCTCAGGGATGCTGATTCCTGCCCAA